TAAAGGAAGCCATCTTGATGAAAATTCAGAACGAATCTAGATCACTAATACTCGCTGACGATGACGTCGCTTGGTCAGCCTCCCATGTGTTCAGCTTACTCAGTTCACCAGCAGACATCGAAAGGGAGCTGACGCCGCTGATCGGAATTGTTCACTGCTGTGGAAAGTCCGCACCAAAGTCCGCCGCAAACCCCACCAGCTCTTGAAGGCAGTGAAATTGATAAAAAGCCCCGCGAGTTGATGCAGTATGTCGTTGCAAATGCAGTACAAATCTGAGTTATTATCATTTCCGAAACAGTCATGACGATCCCAACCGAAGCCAAAGTATTCAGGCGGACACACGGTGACCTCCCACGAACCGTCACGCAGGTCACTGAGCCTGTTCCCACCCCGGGCGATCTTGGAGCGCACGATGTCCTTGTAAAGATTCACGCCGTATCGCTCAACTTCCGCGATGTGGCCATGTTAAATGGCAGATACCCTGTCGAGATCGAGGATGAGGGCATACCATGTTCCGACTGCGCCGCCGAGGTTGTTGCTATCGGTTCCTCTGTTGGCGACTTCGCCATTGGAGATAAGGTGGCGCCCATCTTTGACATCAACAACTTTACAGGCCTGGAAGAGGATGAGAACTGCGCGCTTGGAGGCTCTACGGCCGGCGTCTTACGGGAATATGCGGTCTACGAGGATAGAGTGCTTGTTCATCTTCCGAAGCATCTATCCTGGGAAGAGGTGAGTCAAAGGCCCGGTGGAGCCCAGTAGCGATGCGAGAAACGTGCAAAGCTTTATGGGACTTACTGGTGATGTACAGGCTGCCACCCTCACATGCGCCGGCGTAACGGCATGGTCGTCTCTTAATGGCCTTGAAACAAGCCGAAAGGATCCCGTCGCTCTGATGCAAGGTAGGTCAAAACCTGGCGAACGTTTTGGATGCAACACATCAATCTTTTGTGATTGATGCTGACAAAAACGACTAGGAACCGGAGGTGTTAGCCTGTTCGCGCTCTTGTTGTGCATCGCCAACGGCTGGAAGGCTATTGTCACGTCTTCGTCAGATGAAAAGCTTGAGGCCATCAAGAAGATGGGATCCGATGTCCACGGCATCAACTACAAGACGACCTCCAGCCAGAAAGAGGACATTCTCCGCATCACCAATGGGAAAGGTGTCGATGTCGTGGTTAACAATACAGGTCCGTCGTCCATACCCGACGACATCAGTTTCCTACGATCGAAAGGTGGCACCGTCTCTCTCGTGGGGTTCTTGGCTGGGTTTGGGCAAGGATGGGAGCCAAGTGCCCTGCTTGCCTTGATGGGAAAACTAGCCAAGGTGCAGTAAGTCGCCCAATAAGCATAATGAAGGTCCATCGCCCGTCCGTTGCCAGGTCTAACACATCATAGGGGCATCGGCGTGGGCTCGAAGCTTGATTATCAGCGCATGAATCGTTTCATTGAAGAAAATAACATGTCACTCACGCCCATCATCGACAAAGTCTTCACGTTTGACGAGTCTGCTGCTGCTTTTGATTATCTGTACTCAGGACAGCATGCTGGCAAGGTTGTCATCAAGATCTAAGCTGGTCTTGGGGTTCGTGCAAGTGTGACTGTACACTTGCGTGGGAGACACGAACTCATAAGAAAAGAGTGCAGACAAATATAGGTAGATGTTTTCTTTCTCTTCAAAAAAAAAAAAGGCTGACCGAGCTTGTCCTGATATAATCCCTTCATCCGTCAATAAGCGTTCAAAATGTTTTGTTTTGAGGTGAAGTCTCGGTGAGGCTCGGTCAGCAGTGAACGCACAGGAAATTTCAATCACGCAATTGATTAAACTTCATCCGCCATCGTTCCTCACAATCCCAAAACCACCGACTTTAAGAGGCGTCATGCCCCCGTCTTTGCTGGAGCCAGAGCAGCCGATTTTTTTACTTGACAGGCTACTGACCCTAATCATCACGACGTCGCCTACTCCGTCAGCTCCCACGACAGATCTCCTATCGGCCGTGATCGCCTCCTTCCGCGCTCACTGCACGGCTTTGCTCAATTGCCCCGTCATTGTCGTATTCGATACGTACGACCATGTCGTCGAACGAGCCCGCCTGAAGAAAGGTCAGGTCACTCCCGAAGGCGCACGGGTGTACGACGCCTACAAGGAAAATGTGAAGGCTCTTGTCACGCGCGAGTTTCTGAGCCAGACGCTGCCCAGCTTGCCCTCCCTCGATTGGGAGGTCCGTCGTGCACGAGCAGAATATGGGTCGCCCGGCGGGCGCTCCAGCGGCCATTTGGTTGACATGAACATCCACTGCACCAGGGACCGACGCATCACCTTCATGGAGCCCGAAAAGAGACTCGGTTTCGGCCTGGCTGTGCGTTCAGCCCTCCGCGAAGCCGACACACCGTATGTCTGGATTCACCAGCACGACTGGGCGCTCGACTCGCACATTCCCATTGCGAATCTCCTCGACGCCATGCAGGCTTCCACGTCAAGCACGACAGCTCCAATCCGCTATGTCTGTTTGCCGTCGCCACGGACGGTCGAATACGAGGCTTCGATGCATGTCGCCCGGTTCCCCGTCCTGCGAGACCTGTCAGCCGCTCTAACGGGAAGGTACCCGGCGCCAACAACTGGAGAAGTCGTGCCACTGACGCCCTTGTACTTCTGGCACGACAAGCCACATGTCGTGGAGAGGAGGCATTATCTCGAGAGAGTATTCCCGAGCCAACTGGCCATTGGGAGGGGCATGTTCATCGAGGACTCTATCGGCCAACGCGCAAGGAACGGTATGAAAGAGGGGCAGTGGGCGCGATGGGCCTGTTGGCTTTTTGCACCAGGTGATGGAAAACAGGTTTGCGTAAGGCATCTCCATGGCAGGGTATGGAAAGGAGAAGAGGACCGAAGGGAGAATGAAAAGAGGTGGGATGCGTTGAAGAGCGGGAAGCTGGAGAAGGTTGCGAACGAGGAACCATACCAAGATGAAAAGGAGTGGAACGCGTAAGAGATGCATTGTCGTGGTCGATGAACCCTCCGCGGCATTTCGATGATCGCAATAACTTACGGCACGGCCATCCGATGTCAAGCACATCAGTATACTATCGACGTCAGTGAAGCCTGACAAGCCAGACCACGGTACGAAAGGATCACAAACAAGACTGACCAACAAATCTTTCAAGTAGGTTCTCTCCTGGTCAGCCATTCGCGCGTCTGCAAGGTCCGGGGGAACATGTCCTCACAAACAAGCAAAGGCATCACATGGCCATCAAACCTCGCTGCCTCGGTCCACGCGACAGAGGAGGTAACCTGGGGACCCCAGATATGAAGATCGGCGCTTATTACAGGGCAGTTTGGCCGACCTCAATACCCCGCCCGGGGCATTCTTTCTGTCCGGGGGTGAAAGATCGGAGTGATGTCCTGGCCCCCGAGGACATGAATGGCACGGCAAACGACAACAACTCACCTGGGCCCGTCACCTCGCCTCAAGGTAAGATTCCTAGACACATATTTGAGAGTAATGGTAAGGGCCGGCTGTGTTGACTGTGGTGCCTACAGCAACAACGCAAGGTTGCATCATGCTTTTGGTCTTTTACCCCGGACGTGCCGCCGTCGAATCAAAATGGAGAGCGCCCAACCCGGGCCTGGCACCTCACGAAGGTTGTCGGCCATCCCACCCACCAATATGCAGGACCACCTTGGCAACTCGCGCTTACAGCTGCGCCGCACGTCGAATACGACGCTGACTCGTCCATGAGATAGTCACGGAAACAGGAAAGCAGTTTGACAGTCCATCACAAGACGAGGTATTCATCACGATTGCTGTTGTCTCATGGACAGACGCATTAACATTATTGTATCAGTCGGTGTATTTGCGAGACACTACAGGCCCGAGTGAAATACTATTTTTTTGTCCAACACTGGAAGGACCGCCGTCCCCGGCCGGAAGACCGATGACGACGAATCCTCATGCCATTACCACAAATGAGTTGTATACAATCCAATGTGCTCCCATTCGTCTCCGAACAGGAGAACGTGTTACCGTTGCCAGCAATGCTGCCGCCGCGAGCGTGACTCTTTCTCAGTGGAGAAGAGAAGATGCTTACAGGGCAATGGCGGCGAGACCGACCATGGCGGCAACGCCCATGAAGCCGAGGGAAGCGGCACCGTCAACCTCGACGTGGGTGGGCGCGGGCTCGGTGGCGTTGCCGGTGTGGCTGGGAGCGGGAGCCGCAGTGGTCGAGGGGTGGGGAGCGGCAGAGGAGACCTCAGGGACGGGGTAGCCGGAGGGAGCGGCCGACTCGACAGCGGACTCGACAGCAGACTCAACGGCGGACTCAACGGCGGACTCGACGGCGGAGGGAGCGGCGGTGGTCTCAGCAGCGGTGGTGGTAGGCTCCTCGGGGGAGGTGGGGGGGTTGGCGCAGAGAGCCTCGGTGGCGGGGATGACCTCGTCTGGAAGCGCTTGTTAGCATGGACGACTCGGGAGCAACGTGGACGCCATATGGGAGCACATACTGAGGGCAACGTCAACACCGCAGGCGTCAATGACGCAGCTGGTGGCAGCGGCGCGGATGGCGGCGTTGTTGGCAGGCTCGCAAGAGCAAGAGTAGTCGCCGAAGGTGCAGTCGGTGGCCGAGGTGGTGGCGTCGCGGATGCAGGGAATGGCGCACTCAGGGAGGCCGGAGGAGCTCTGGGCGGCCACAACGGCGGCGAAGGCAGCGATAGCGTAGACAGACTTCATTTTGATGGTTTTGGGGGTGGTTGTTGTGGTTGGAGGAAGGATGAACCGGTATTAGCGAGGTATGGGGATTATTGGTACAAGAGCGAGTGTACTGTATGATGCCAAGCGAATGTGGATGAAGAGAGAAGAAGAGAAGGGCGGAAGAGAAGCTGGAGGACGAGGCTTCTTATGGACGACGGAGGAGGTGCGGGCTTGGTGCGATATTGCTCCGGGGGCGGGCGAGTTGACGGGAGCGCGAAGCATCGGGACATCGAATAGACGCCCCAGGAACCTGCTGGAGAGGCTGGCAAGGCACAAGCTTGCTACCTTCCTTCGGATGGGTTGCATGGAGATGGTACGGTTGCTGGTGCGGGAACTTGGACCTGGACCTGGACCTGGACTGGGCGTGGCACCCATCCTTCCAGCGGCGACGGCGACCCCCTGGCCAGGTCTCGACTGCGTGAAGAGCAAGGATGAGGAGACATGATGGCGAAGTACCCCGGTTGAAGTCAAGGCCCAGATGTGTCCGGGGAAGGACGGCGGGCCAGAGTGACTGGGCGAATACCAGGGCGACAACCTGGCGATGTATCGGCGCGGGCCTGACTGCCAGAAGCGGACGACCAGTCACCGGGATGTCAGGTTGGTGCAGCAAGCCACTTCTGCCCGTGCGGAGCTCTGAGGGGGGTGTGGACTCGTCAGGATTCGCTTTGTCTTTGCTAGTCTACGGCCTCTAAGGTTGTCTGGCTACGTCGTGGGATTGCCCGTTGCAGTAGGCGGTTCGGCAAAGCAAGGCAGAGGCAAGTCAGGGCCAGGGGCCACAGGGCCGTCTGGTGTGGGAGATGTCACGGCATGTGAAGATGGTCTGTTGGATGAGCCACGTCGGTGGCTCGACGGAGGTAATTTCGGCTGAGACGCTACTCAGGATTCTAGTCGCTCTATCAGGCCCTTTGTGCTTTCTGGCAACGCTCCATGCATTGTGCTGCCGTTCGCGGTTATTGCTGCAATGGAGAAGTCAATTATCATTCGAGAAGAGGAGTAATTGACCGACGCCGGCGCGCTGTAATGTCTCTCTTTTCCTTCCGTCCCACCCCATCTCCGTGCTGGTGCTGTCTTCCATGGGCTTTCCTGCTGGGGCCCCCTTCGACGCTCCTCAGCGGGTTCGAAAATCCGGGGTTGGGCGGCCGAGCTGGTTCTTGGCAAGGCGAGGTAAGGAGAGGCCTGGCGAATGACTGCGGGTACAGTACTGGTCTTTGCTCTGGTCTCCCCAAGGGACCTGGGGAAACCAGGAAAGACAGCTCCATAATGGCAATCAATCAACAAGTCAATCCATTTCATCCTTGGTAGCTTCGGGGTCTGCAGATACGGTTCAATACTCGTATCTTTGCGTGACTCAATAAGCTCTTGCTTATTACCCCTCGAGCACTGCATTCGGGGAAATTCATGGCTGTGCCCCCTTTCCCTGGCCTGTTGCATTGTCCACTACCTTGCCTTGCCTTGTGTCCTGGCTTCAAAAGCACATGACAAAAACTATTCGGAGGGACGCAGGAACGCTGGACCAACCGCGACGCACAGCCGAGATGGTGTCCTCGTACTGGACGCAGCCTGACGATCGCCACAACCATACAACTTACCACTCCGATGACAGGGGTGGCTCAGCAGCCATTTCCGTTGGTCACTCGCCCGTCATGGGCGGCACCCTTGGCCGCCTCCCAGAAGCAGGACATCAGATCGGGCAGAAAAGAAGGGGGGAAAGGCCCACGACCAAGGGTGTCCCCTTGCTGGGTCAAGCAACTTAGGGCGCCAACGGCGACGCCCACCCTCTCCCCCTCCTTTCCTAGGTCCTACTCCTCTCGATTCGCTGGGCATAGCAAAGTCTGGGGGTGGGCGCCCTGGCTCAATCTCCCCCGCACCAAGCACCTCATTCACAGGCTGAACGGCAGACACGGTGGAATGAGACATCTGACGCACTCATTGCCTGGCGCTGGGAGCTGGCGTCTGAGCAAAGCCGAGGCCATGATCAAGCCATGGGGCCCTTGTGTCGGCTGTCAAGTGTCAGTCAGAATATTGGCTTGTGAAGAATAGCCTGTAGCGCCCCGAAATCGATCGACCAAAAGAGCCTGCCGCGATCAATACCGATTCCTTTGTTGTTGGTCAACCTGAGGATGTACCTGAATCCTACTGCGCCGGAAGCGCATTTCGAGGTCAATATCCACTCTTCATTTCGTTGCTCCCCAGAAATCTGCACAATCTGATCCGATATCCGCTGGTGCATCAATGCAACTCCACGAAAAGGGCATGGTCCCAATTGTCTCCTATCTCTTTGCGTTCCCCATTCGCCATGACCCTGTCGCCCAGTTTCTACCTGTAGCCATGTGAACCCGCGCAGTGCACTGTGACTCCATTGAGACCAGTCCAGAACCTAGAACCGCGCAGCTCCGCCAGCTGCACCGGGCCCCCCCTCCGCAGCCTTCATCTCCGACCGCGAATCTGGTTGGGCGTCCCTTAAGCTTGTTTGGATGGAGGTGAGCAGCCGCAAAAAGCGTAACGAGTGGGAGGGGGGGGCCACACCGGACACCACCCTCGTTGTTAACGACCACACCGGATCGCCAAAGCGAAAGGAGGCTCCACGGGCTGACATTGCATCAGCGCGCATTGGGTGCTGTGTGCATCCTTTCGGCACGCAGGTACGTGTTCAAGGCACACAAGTGGATTATTGGCGGGCCATATTTCCCATTCCCCTCTGTCGACGGGTTCGACATCTTGGGGAAGCGTGCTCGTGAGCTTGTGGGATAAAGGGGGAAGGCGGGTTCTGTCCGACGGCGGGTCACCCAACTGAATGAGGAAGGCAGGCCGGGTGGAGGGCGTTTTCCTCGCCCTTTTTTCACATGCTACTTTGGGGGTGCCTTGTTTTGGGGGTCGTTATTCTGATGGAGCATTAGTCGTTGCAGTGGCGCTGAAAGGATTGACTCAGGAACTACATCTAATCTCCATGCGACGTCTACTTTCATTTCCAACGCGCGCGTCTTGACGTTGCTCTACGTTTCGGGCGCTGAGTATGAGCGATCTTCAGGGGATCTTCTGTCAAGACCCGAGGCAGCGCATGTGATGCCTTCGAAGAGCCTCTGGAAACACCGCCAAGACTGTTGTCATGAGAGTGCTGATCCAGCTTGCAGCTCGATGCACGCTATGGAGATATTCTCGTCCGATAATATGTCGATCACTCTGACGGCAGTTTCGTTGGCGTCGGTGAGGATACCACATCGAACCGATATCGTCCGTGCTATAGGGACGAGCGATGAATGAAGAAGATCGAACGACATCGAGAGGCCCCCAACCAGTACCAACTTACCTTGAAACGCACCATTGAGCATCAACCAGCCCGCCACTCAATCATTTTGGTCAGATCAGAGATTTGGAGGCATGGTGACGGTTTTGAGGACCTTGCTACCTCCGTGTCTCGTTATTAAGCTGACGCGCAAGTTTCATCGGACTTTTCGCTGGGCAAGCAGGCCACCACCCCTTGACAGACTTTCGATGCCAGCTACGATTCTGACTACCCATCTGCTCGAGGCACGAATGAAGGTGTTGGCCCTGCTAGTATCTGCTTAGCCACAGTGGCATGTGACCTGGGCAATAATCGTCGAGTGGGTGTAGCAGAACGACGAGAACGTCTCTTTGGGAAAGCAACAAAGCGTCAGTTGCTACTAACAATCAATTTAAACCGAGATATAATTAGCACTTTTGTTTTAGGCAGCCTCCGTTTCTCTGTTTCTGACGCTTCGGAAGGCAGGATAGGGTTCTTGCCGCCCTTGCTGCTGCCAGTTCTCAGGCACAGTATCACCTCAGGGATCACAGCCTGTTCACTTCTCTATCCACAGCACTTGGTTGCAAATACAGCATCCCGCATGTCTAGAAAGAGCTGATATAACCACTGATAGGAACTTCAGCAATTGTCTGACTTTCTTCGGACAACCGGCAAGATTCGAAGCGACCCGAGTTTTACCACCTCGTCCTAGTAGGGTCCAAGGGCACCGCAATATTGTTGTTCCAAACCGTCCTGCTCTCACTATCCAACATTCAATAAACGACTACCTCCGAGAAGACGCGCTCTACCTACAGAGATAACCTGAGCGATTCATCATGGACGACTTGAATGATCGTCTTGAGACTTTCTTCGAGGAAAACGAACGCCACCGAGCCTGTACATGGACTTTCGCCGTGCCTTCCGCTGAAGACATGGCTAAGGCTGGCTTCTATCTTTCTGCAACAACAACGAATCCAGATACAGTGAAGTGTCAATCTTGCGCAATTGTCAGTTGGGCCTAGGAGGCCAGCGATGACCCTTTCCAAGAGCATCTCAAAGGAAGCGACAATTGTAGTTACGTCGAGAGCGAACTATTCCGCACTTTCCAAGCTGCGTACGTCGCCAAGGTCGAAAAGCTTCCGCGCCCCTCACCGTCAACGCCAGCCAAGTCAGGATACCACCTTGGCACTCCTTCTCGGAAGTCGCGTGCGAAGCGTATCACGAGCACCATGTCGCAGATCATGACCGTGGCGAACCTTGAGCCCCAGCCTGAAGTGGTTGAAGCTCCTTCTCCGATGTGTATCAGCATCTCAGGCGCTGGCATGTCCATGGAATTAATGGTCAATACGCCAGACACTCGTAAGTAGTCTGAATCAACGTTGCATGGCCCGCAAATAATTTGACTTTTTCTGATGGCAGCTTCCAAGAAACGCCGATACGCCTAAAGTCCACGCTTGGGGCCCATCACGAAGACGAACGGCATTGCAGAGTGGCTGACGTGAGTGTTGTGCTCAAAATTATCATCGGATGGGCTGTGATTCGTATCCGAGGACTCACAATAGGCAGTTATGGCTTGCACATCAGTTGGCAAAGAGCTCGCTTTCTGGCTATTGATTCGCGATGTGTATTCAGAGACCCATATGGAGACAACTCCATCTTGTCGACGCTCCGTGGAACATCAAACAACAATACTCTCTGCCTCCCTTCCTATTCATAAGCAAACAGGAAAGATAGGATTGGCACACTTGATCACCGTTGCTCTCAATCAAGTTTTCTTCA